AGAAGTCACGCGTATTTCAACAATAGCAGAGATACTCAATGCCATGCCGTCAGCAAAGAAAAGGTGCTAACAGATCCACAAACTAATTATACTATACTACACAGTGCCACTCTCATCTGCCTCGTGCGAACGCACATTCAGCGTAATGCGTCGTCTCAAAACATGGCTGCGGTCAAACAGTGAAGGAAATCATCTGAATGATATTATGTTCTCCAACATTCAGAAGCAACACATGGATATGGTGGAAATAGACGTAATTGCCAAAGAGTTTTCACAGAGAAATGAAAGAAGAATTAAATATTTTGGAAAATACAATACATGGCAAATTGTAAATTAGTGACGTTACATCGTTTGATAGTTAAATTATCGTTAATATTCATCGACCAACACTGCGGACATGTTTTTCTGTACAGTGTATTGCATGTAGCACATCTCTTTGCTGTTTATCACTATTAGATTATTTTTAGTATATTTCACTAATGTGCCCTTCCACAAAGGCTTGCCCCTCCTGCCCTTTTGCCGTTCCGGCGTCCCTGTTTGTATCTCGCCGTGGTACCCGGAAGTGAATTTTGTAATTTAATAATGTCTGATGATGTCTTGAGAATCAAGACAAAACGTTACGCTTCTAAATAAACATTTCTTTTCATACGTTATTTTTGTATTGAATGGCTCTTTTAAAAGCACTTTGCTGGGCTTTAATATTAATATTAAGAATTCGCTACTCGCCCGGTATATCCCTGGTCACGATTCTGAGCAAACTAAAATTCTAAGCAAAGTATTAAATTACAACCTCAAAGACGCGAACAAACTGGACTACGTTGCTAACCAGCAGTTATAATAAACAGCAAAGAACTAAGAGCAATCAAAACCTACTAAACGACGACCAAATAATCTTATCACGAGCTGACAAAGGACGCAAAACAGTTATCATGGACAAATCAGAATACATCGACAAAGCCAAAACCCTCCTACAAGACACCACCACCTATGAACTTCTCCACGCAGACCCCAGCAAAACGACAACCAACCGCATTAACCAGAAACTGAAACAACTCAAAGACAAAAAGAAACTGACCGAAAACGATCACAGAAGAATCCGACCCAATGACGCATCCACCGCCAAATTCTACGAACTACCAAATATCCACAAAGAAAACAACCCGCTTCGACCTATCGTATAGCTTCCAGGATCACCTACGTATGATCTTTCAAAACATCTCTCTAACATTCTCTATCCACTAGTCAAAAATTCACCTCACACCATCAAAAACACCACCTTCTTCTTCGCCAACATGACAACATTAAACTACGACGAGACGAAACCATAATATCCTACGACGTGACATCGCTCTTCACATCCATACCACTAGACATAGCCAACCCTAGACTGACTTAACCTTTGCCTCTCCAATGAATTCTCTTGCAAAACTCATACTACAGGCAAATTTTAGGCACACCAATAGGGTCACCACTATCTACCTTCCTCGCAGAAGCCTTCATGCAACACGTCGAAACACAATCAGTCACAAACAACACAGAGATCAGACTATGGAAAAGATACGTCGACGACATCTTTGCCATAGTCAAGAAGGACAAAACTGAACAAATCCTATACACCATAAACAATACCACAAAGAACATAACTTTCACTAAAGAAGAAAGAACACGACAAACAACTTACTTTCCTTGACATCCTACTGATCAGAACAGAAGACGGTACACTAAACACACAAGTATACCGCAAAACTACCCGCACAGACCAAATACTTGATTTTAACAGCAATCACCCAACACAACGCAAAATAAGCTGCATTCGAACACTTTTTAACAGGATCAACACTCATTGTAACAACGAAAAAGCTAAGAAAAGAGAACGCAACTACTTATAAAGTAAATGGTTTGAACCCGGGAGTATCGTTACATGTTTGTAAATGTAGATCGTCCAGATTGGTAAAGTCCTGAGAAGGACTGTTTTTGTTGTTGTTGACTAAGGTTTCGACAATCTTAGCGGTAGTCATCTTCAAAGTCAAATGAGGAGTAAACGTCAGGTTAGCCGTATTTGTTATCTGGTTCTTACGTCATTGTATTGTGTGTACAGGAAATGTGTATTGTCATTGTGGATTAGTGTGAAGTGAAATATTTTATTTTTAGTTGTGATGTTTGATTTAGGTGTGATGTTTTAAGTTGCAATGTTTATTGTCATTGTGTATTGTCATTGTGAATTAGTGTGAAGTGTAATGTTTTTAGTTGATCGTTTGTTTGTATTGTGAATAAGTCGTTTGTAAGGTGCCGGTAATTGCTGTGATCTCTTCAGGGGTGTTTGTTCCAAGTTGGTATACCAACTTTCTAATGTAAGCCGTTGTCTATAGTCAGTACTGTAAGTAATGCATTTTGCCGAGTCCCAGTCAATGTTGTGCTTTGTGATTCGGTGATGTTCGGCAATGTGATTAGTTTTGTCTTGTTTCTTAGTAGCTCGTTTGTGTTCAGTAAGTCTTGTGTTTAAGTTCCTGCCAGTTTCCCCGATATAGGAGGCGTGGCAGTCGGAGCAGTTTATTTTGTAAACTGCACCTTGTCGTTCGTTGGGTTGTTCTTTGTCCTTTATGTTCGTTAGTACTTGTCGTAACGTTGTGATTGCTTTATGTGCGACACGTATGTTGTATGCTCGTAGGATACGCGAGATAGTCTCAGACGTACCTTTGATGTAAGGTATCGTTGCTGTTGTCACTGGGTTGTTCGTTTCGTTGGGTTTGTAAGTGTTGCGTTTGATAAAGTCAGAGTTATAGTTGTTTTTGTCAAAAACACGTTTGAAATAGTTGTTTTCGTTGTGTAGAGCGTCCGGTGAATCACAAATGATTTGTGCACGTCTTGTTAATGTTCTGATTGTGGTGGCTTCGTGTGATGTAGGGTTGTAAAATGATTGGTCTAGTAGTTGGTCAGTATGTGTTGGCTTGCGAACAACAGTTTATCCTGTTTATACGTGTCGCACATAAACCAATCACAACGTTACAAGTACTAACGAACATAAAGGACAAAGAGCAACCCAACGAACGACAAGGTGCAGTTTACAAAATAAACTGCTCCGACTGCCACGCCTCCTATATCGGGAAACTGGCAGGAACTTAAACACAAGACTTACTGAACACAAACGAGCTACTAAGAAACAAGACAAAACTAATCACATTGTGTTTCCTGTACACACAATACAATGACGTAAGAACCAGATAACAAATACGGCTATCCTGACGTTTACTCCTCATTTGACTCTGAAAATGACTACCGCTCAGGTTGTCGAAACGTCAGTCAACAACAACAAAAACAATCCTTCTCAGGACTATACCAACCTGAACGATCTACATTTACAAACATGCAACTACTTATACTCCACATTTATTAAAAACAATTACCGTAGAAACTTCATAAACAAAATTATAAACAAAATACAAAACAAAACACAAACCGACAAAAGCAACAAGAAACCGGACGAAACAGTAAAAATCATCATATTACCACACATAAGCGGAACATCAGAAATGACTTCCAGACTTCTTCGACCATTTAATATTAACGTCGCCCACAAACCTACACAAAAACTCAAATCATGTTTTACCAAACATAAAGACAAAACAACAATTCATGATACAACCGACGCGATCTACATGATACCATGTGAAGACTGCTCAAAACAATACATAGGACAAACGTCAAAGAAAATCGAAACAAGACTCACAGAACACAAAAACGCCATAATATGACGAGATCCGAATCCACTACCAGCAGAACATACACACGGAAACAACCACACATTCGACTTGACAGAAACTAAACTACTCGGACGCGCACAGACTAAACACGCACGCGCTTTTAAAGGAGCTTGGTACAGTAAAGATAACGACACAATAAACAGACATATCGACATACCAATCATATACTCACAGCTAAAGAAAAAGGACAAAAAACTAAAAGAAACACTAAAAACTACAACATTACACTCTATAATATTAATACCAATCATATTCACAATACACCAATACTCATGAGAACGCATTCCATACCATCCAATCACATTAATCCACCCGCTAATCTAATTAGACGCTCTAAGTGTCCACAAATAAAAAACAACTGTATATAACTTACTATATCTTTCTGATGAAGGCTCGAAGCACCGAGTCGAAAGCTCAATAAAATAATTTTACAACAATCCTGAGAAACTTTCATTTTTTTTATATGTTGCAATTCGTAGAAAACACTTTAAAAGAGACCTAAAATACTGCAGAGCATACACACATGATCACCCCCAATAAAGAGGTATCTATGCCACTAAAGCGTTGAATAGACTTATGTGTATTTTAGAAATTATTGACATTTTTTTAGCCAGGAGTCACAAAATTTAACGATTATACCGATGTAAGCGTTGTATTATTTATATCATCTTCCAAATATGTGAAACTCGAGTGTTTAGATGTACAATCCCAGCGAGTATATAACATTATCACGACCAAAAATAAATGTCTATGGCTCTAATTAAAACTTTATGTTGGGCACTAATTTTTATTACACGAATTTGATTTCCGCTCGGCAAGTCTCTCGCTACTATTTTAAATTATCACGACGTTATGTTTTGGTCGTCTTCTGGACCTAACCCGCTCATACGACGTTTACCAACGTTTCGTCTAGCTTGTGGTTTGGGATGCCCGTTTAAAACTTTTAAAGCCCGTTTCAAATCTTTGTGTTTTACATGCGCCGAATGTAAAATGACTGACAGACAGACTGACTGACTGACTGACTGACTGACTGACTGACTGACTGACTGACTGACTGACTGACTGACTGACTGACTGACTGACTGACTGACTGACTGACTGACTGACTGACTGACTGACTGACTGACTGACTGACTGACTGACTGACTGACTGACTGACTGACTCGTGTGAATTTTGGCTCTACAATGTGCGCCGCATCTAAAAGATTTCAAGAGCGCCGCGGCACTAAAACGTGTAAATACGGTATGTTATACTGTCATGTCACATCTTCCAGACGTTACAGAGATATTGCTAATAACTCACAACATGTAACAATAAATTGACAGCGTTGAAGTTTAGAAATTCAATTTACAACCACCCAAAGTGGATCCAGTGCCATAAGATAAATTGTTTGAATGGTTAAAATCATTTTTTTTATCTTCTTCGGTCTCATTAATGCTCGGAGGAAGATGTAACTTCTAGATGAAGAATAGAAGAAAAGAGAAAACACATTTTTAAACTCACTTGAAAATGAGAAAAGCCTGTCAGAATGAATCCAAACTAGCCAGTACTAAAGAACAATAAGCATTCTCCAGAATAAAACCACTATGGTTTGTCATTATCCTGAGTGCATATGGCATAAACTACATTTCAAATCTCACAATAAGTGGCATTTTGCAAAGCAAATCTCTCTTAAAGTGCTAATATTACGAATTTTAGACCGCCTTTTTTACTGCATAATTTGAAAACTTGACATGTCGCTGGAATTAAATAGACACATATAAGTTCCTTAATTTTGCCTCCAAATTTGGGTATTATTTGCGAACTTTGCACGACACCATAATGACACTTGTGACGTAAGTAGTTGAACACGTCTGCTTCCGGTCATATAATATATAGTAAGAAAAACTATAGTTAAAGTATTGCTTCCAATCAATTGTCACCTTAACATGATAACATGATACTTATTCTATGTCTGAATACGTTTCCTCGAGTCGAGCAAAAATCAAGTAGCTATGTCGTAATGTCGAGCGATTTTATGAATTTAGGTACAATTACGAAGCGCTCGCTAAAGATGGTGAAGGTTGTACTCCAGGCAATCCAGATAACATTTTCTTGGCAACATTGGGCCGACAAAGTCACGCTCTCATAGTTTAATATAGATGTATGGTATATACTTCATCTGTAGTTTCTGCACCACTGGTAAATGATAATTCATCGTCAAGAAAGCACGCTTCTTTCTCTCTCGGTTGATGTACAGTGTTTCAAAAATTTGTACAAGCTATATATGTAATTTATATCATGATAAATAAATTCTCGGCAGTATTTTATTAAACTGTTGATAGTTAATCATAAGCGTAATTAATCAAACTTGGACATTGTTGAAATTGCTTTCGATCGGTTATCTGCTTCTCTAACGGCTTAGTTACACCGGCCACATCAATGGTCAGATGAATTTCTCCTGAACATTCTTTTCCATTTGACTTGCACACACAAATTAAGGTCGAAATAGGAATCCCCAAAATGTACAGAGCAAGCATTCGAAGTAAATGGAAAGCCTTAAGGCCTGTCAATGTTTACCAACGTTTACCCGCCAAATTGATCAATTTCTCTTGTCCTTGCCACTTATTTTCTTTGTTAGGAAACAAATAAATTGATATTCCGTCATTTTGGAGTAATTGGCGCAACCAATTTGATCAGGTCGGCCAGTAACACAACTTTTTCCATTGCTTTTTTTATACGCCATGTTGATTACAAGTGTTCAACTCATTGAATTATAAATATACTGGAATATACAAAAGTTGGCGAAAATATTCGCTCTTTCTGAGTTATAAGACGTTCTAGACATGCCTACCTGGGTCTACTACCAAAATATTGTAGTTCCCGGTTAAATACACAAACTATTAAAGTTTCCAAATATTGAATCATTGAATAAAGAGAAAAATGTGTTTTTTAAGAAGCATTTTACATGTCACGAAAACACAAACATTGCAAGTACATATATAGCTCAGTGTGTCATAATGAAAAGTAAAGAGTCTCGCAAAAACTATTTAAAAAGTTTTTTGTGTCATGTATAAATACAGATAACAATTTCATGTAAACAATGTCCTATTTTTGTATGTTGTGTGTAAAAACCCAATAAAAGGAAAAGAAATTAAGTACATCGCATATCACGACTAAGCTTGTTGCACAACATGTTAATATAAAATCAAAAATGAAATAAACACTGGGAAACTGAAATATGTATTTTAGAACAAACTAAAACAAACATCGATCGCCAAGAAAATATGCACTATTTCAGGGGGGAGTAGGCAAATTTTACACGTATGTTGGCTTCATCTAATCACAGGGAATTCTTACTGGAGTTATCATTCCAGTATATTTATAATTCAATGGTTCAACTCAGAGTTCAACTATCTACGTCACAACTCATTAATATACCATCGAAAAATCGCAAAAACATGGCGGAAATCGCAACTTTGAACGTTCATAAAATCAGATTTGAATTATAATTGCAGAAATGGAATCTCCAAAAGCTATTTTTTAAATTAGCTACTAAAAAAGAGGGGCTAAAATTCGTCATGTAATCACTTTAAAGGGAGGAAGTAATAATATTGGTAAATATAAATGAGTGTTGTTATGTTAACTTGGAATGCAGTTGATGTATAGCAAATTCGTGGGAATATAAACGTACTTTAGTATAATTAAGAAGTGTTTCATCTCAATTTCAAAACAAATGGAAGTGAGTTTTTTGCATATTCAGGCAAAAAACTCACCGTTTGCGCTGAATGTGAGATAGTTGCTCACATGTAAGCAATTAAGAACCAATAGTGATGCGTCCTTTTATCTCGTGAACAAACAGCAAAATATAGGCTACCTCTACTGACCAATTGATGAGCGAGTACATGTTGGACAAATTTCAGTCATTGACAAACTTGTTGACGCAAGGCCAAACTACCACTAAGTGTTTGTTGTCGCCAGACTTTAAAATATAAAAGGCTAAATTACGTATGAATTAAGAAATCGCAAAGGAATTAAAGCAGACAAGTGACAAAATCTTTGTAATAAAACTACTTCCATGTTGACCGTTAAGACATACTTTATTCTCGACTTTATTCCCATAACATCATGAATTTTTAAAAATATGTAGCGAGTTGAGGGGGTAAAAGCATGAATGCGGTAATCGTTCATCACTTCGTTTGTAATCGATATTTTGCTGTTTGTTCACGAGATAAAAGGACCCTTCACTATTGGTTCTTTAATTGGTTATATGTGAGCAACTAGCTCGTGTTCAGCACGGTGAGTTCTTTGCCTCACGTGACCAAAAACATCAAACATGCTTGATTTGCATGAGACGTAAAACTAAGTAAAATTCATCCGCACACAGCGAGCTATTGCCTTAGCTAACGGGTACGAATAACTTTTAGCAGTTTGCTACAGGCTTAAAGGAAAAACAATTTAATCAACCAGAGTCAAAATATGGACTGTATTGCATTAGCTATGAAAATTTCAAGCAATTTGGTACACGGTCAGGAAAATGCAACATCTTTAAAACGTGATTTCATATCAAGTGGTATAGAGTTTTTGTATGTGACGCCAAAGCAGTCAAGTTCGGGAAGCACTTCAATGTGTAATGCTCAACAAAGCATGATATTAACATAAATCATTTTAGCTATACGGTATTTCCCCCAACATGGAAACCGATGAAAACACTCGATAACAACATTTGTAACTATGGTATGAGGCGCCGTTTGTGACAAAATGAGAACAAAAATAATTGCATTAAAAACATAGATTAAGGATCAAGGATTATAAATTGATGTTAAAAAAATCAAATATGTTGATATTAAAGTTTTTTTATAAATATGATAGAAAGAGGTCAGCAGTCTATATCCTATAAGAGTTTAAATACTTAAAATACATAAGATTTGATGTGTAATTTAATCGTTATTTCATATACTTATACAGGCAATTCCCAAGATTCTACGCCTTCCTAGTTCATTCATAATTTCGTCAAGCTGGAACTGTAAGAAACATCAGTACTTCTAAAAATTCAGTAACGTTTATTTGCACGTTTTCTGGTGGTTATGTTTCATCTAATATCATCATCGTGTTCATTGTTATGTCTGCTGTTTCCACTACAGTCAATTGACTGATATGAAAATCGTCTATTGTAAAGAGAAACATTAGCATTTATATTTTGCGGTTGACGGGAAGATAAATGCACATGAAAAGATTGCCCATAACTCTCATCCACTGAAGTTTCATGTGGACATGTCAATGCATTGGCCGTTACACTGCCATTTGAATTCGAATGACAAGTTGTGACGGTCGATGACGCAGCTAAAATTTGAGAGGTTATAATGCACGTTAAAGTTTGATAAAAGAAGGGAAATCTTGTGAATTACCTGTATCAGACGTGCTGTATTAATTATTTCAAATATCAATTGCACATCAAATCTTAGTTAAAATGAAGTATTTCAAATTCTATAGGTTAGAGACTGCTGACCTCATTGTAACATATATTTATAAAAAACTTTAATATGAATAGATTTGATTTTTTTGACATCAATATATAATCCTCCTTCGTTTATCTAAGACTTATAAAAATTCCCATTGATGGTATAATTCCCATTTCGTCCCAAACGCATACTTATAAAAAAAACTTTAACATCAATATATTTGATTTTTTTGACATCTATATACAATTCTTGATCGTGAAATTCTGAGTCAAAAAGTACGACTCAAGGACTTAGTCCTTTTGAGAACTCTTTCCTGGGTCTTCAGTAGACTTACAGCTCAGATAGTCGCGGCGAATTTACGCTAGACGATTATTATCAACAAAACGAAAAAGGGAGTGCTGGTGGATTTACCTGTTGTGTACCTGGTTGCTTTTCAAACAACAAAAGAAACCCTGAGCTTTCTTATTACAATTTCTCTGGGGATAAAAGTAAGGAGTCTCGAGATCTTCGAAAGAAATGGATCAATGTTATATCTTGCAAGGATTTTATTCTAACGATCGGTCACCAGTGTGTTCTCTACACTTCCAAGGTGGACGTAGGATGCATTTAAATCGATAGCCAACAATTGTTCCGAAAGCCACAAAACCTTCTCAAACTAAACATCGGCGAACTGAAAAAGCAAGAAACACGACACCGTTTGAAACCAAACAGAATGTCCTCTCAAACTGAAACAGACAATGATACCATCGAACCTCCTCAACAAGCTGATGAGTCCAATGTTGATGCCGCCGAAAGGACCGAAGAGCTCGCTACTTTGAAAGATAAAATGACTGAACTTTTATTGCTAAACAAAAAATTGAGGTAGGAAAATCAACAGCTGAAAGATGAAATGCACAAATGCACGTTGGCCGGTCTTTGGAATAAAATCCTTTCGATAAATAAGATTGATCCATTTCTTTTGAAGATCTAGAGACTCCATATATTAACCTCCAGGGAAATTGTAAAAAGAAATGTCAGTGTTTCTTTTGTTGTTTGAAAAGCAACCAGGCATACAACATGTAAATCCACAAGCACCCAATTTTCGTCTTGCCCTTAGTTAATGTATTATTTTCGAAAATAAAACAACTCATGACAGAATTTGCTCTTCATCTCCCGTATAAATTATCCTTGTTGCAAAAGATTATATCGTCTACGTAGACAAAATAGTAAAGGTTTTAACGAAAGAGTGAGCTAAAGGCAAGAAACGAAATGTATTACAAATCCGCTTCTTCAAGATTTTTATTTACGATACGTAGCGATGCTGTGCACTTCAGCTAAAACAAGTGGTAATTGCTTTAAGATTCTTTGCTTCGGGCAGTTTCGTAGAAGTTTTACAAGATAATCGAATTGTAGACAAATGTGGAACGGCGCGAGCTTTATAACTGGCATTGAATAGAACTAGGAATCACTTTTAAAAAGGCAATCTTCGATTGGTGAGAATCTACGTAATCGATACAATAAAAACAACTTTTTTGCAAGCTAGCTTTCCGTCTGTAATTGGCTGTGTTCATCGAGCAGACACTGTTAATTGACCTTAATTGGATTCGCGCGCTTTTTGACCAAGGTTAAATGTCTTAACCCAAGGTTAGTTAACTCAGCGCTTAAAACCTTAGGTTAACGAATTTAACCTAGTTTAACCCTAGATAACCAGCTTCTGAACAAGCGGCCAATGGTTATAATGGTTATTGTTTTCCCCACGATTAATTTTTGCCTGCGAGGCCTGTTTGTAACAACAGTTCTTTCCCTGATAAAAATCTTGTATTTTCAAAAATTCAGTGTCAGCTAGGCCAGGGAACTATAAAGTACTTAGAATTAGTAAAAGTTTTCGATTTTTCCACGTGCATCTTTTTTTGATACACATATAGTGTATAGGGTGGTTTGCATGTTAAATGTCAGTCGCCACATTGGTGGTCTAATACATAAGAATATTTCGTCAATGCTATTGTGGGCACCAGCCGTCTTTGGCAAACCAACTTGTTTGATAATTCCGTGGAGGTTGGTTGAAATCCAGGAATAAAACCATAAAAATCTTCTGAAGAAGGCTATAGCATGCGGCCGAAAATTTAATGAAAATCACCAACTATTTCTTAAAAATAATACGTGGAAAAAATCAGCTACATGAGCAATCAACACCAGTGTATACCTCGATGATAAATTTTCTTCGACGAAGTTTAAAACCAAAATCCATCGTCTCTGGCATAAAACGCGTGAGAGAATTCAGCCGAGATAATCGAACTATGTAGAACAAACCTTCAATAAAACAAAAATAGATTATAGTTGCATATTGCTTTCTTCAAAGTCGTATCAGAGGTGAAACTAGAACGCTAATTGGGGGGGTGGGGTGTACGTGTATATTCATAAAGTTAATTTACTTAACCAATATAACCATAATCATTTTCACGCACGACTAAAGCAACTGCCTACTGTGTTTCAGCATTTAGTCGCACGTCCAAAACTACCGCTATGCGTGGTTACTAAGCTAGCAGCAAATTCGCGTCAGCTAGTCGCTTTAAAAGTTCAACATGTTGAACTTTTGACATTGGTCGCTTATACGAGCTAGAGGAGATAGAAAAAATAAGGAAGGTAAAAAGGCTATGGTTGCTTGGGGATAATCAACCATAAAAGGGCATCTCAGGGCTATTTCCAACACTTATTTATCGAATTAAAGAACGACGAAGAGCAGCTTTATATTTACGCTCACATGTCCCATCAAATGTTCGAAAAGCTGCTCGTTGTGGTTGGTCCATCATTGCGTAAACAGGAAACGCAGATGAGACAGTCAATTTCCAGCAGAAAGGTTAGCCATTAGCTTGCGAAGATTGGCCTACAATCGATCGCTTTTGCGTACGGCCGTGGCGCAAGAACAACACCTGCGATACGTTTTGGAATGTGTTGGTGCCCCATTACATGAAGGCCCCAAACCAACCTTTCTACTGAAGGAACATATCCAAAGGGAAAAACTAACTTTCTTTTAAGTTGAGTAAGTGTAATTATAATATTTATGGTAAAAGCGGTTTGATACTACTTGGAATTTTCCCATGATGGGAAGCATATTGCTATCTATACCCTAAGAAATTCTGGGTCTTTGTATTTTAATTACAATAAATATTTTTCATTGGTGTTAATGGCAATGTGTGAAGCACAATACAAGTTCATTTTTGTGGACATTGCTAAAGCTTGAGATTGAGTGTTGGGGGAGTATTCTCATGTTCCTAATTTGGATCTGCCTTTTTAAGTGGTAAGTGCATCTTGTATAATTGTACATCATTCATAATATAAAAACCATCTCGAATGGACTTAAATAGGTGAAATGAATCTTCGTCTTGATGAAACAACCTGTCTCCTACGTCATTGTGGCAGACAAAGCCTTTCTGCTTAAACCCTGGATGATGCGCCCATTTTCATGTAAGAATAATGGACAGCCTTGTCGTACAATAAAAAAGGCATTTGGTAATTATTGGCATGTTTTCCTGATAACATGAATTTTGTGAGCAAAAAGTTCTCACTTTACTTAACCTCTACTTTAGGCATAATGGTTTCAACACGGAGAATTTTGAAAACAAGCATAATTGCAGAACCAGAAAATGCAACTAGAATTGTCAAGGCTACTTGCATTTTGCATAACTATCTTAGATCATACCATGTCTCAACATATAGTCCTGTTGGTTTTACAGATGCTGTAGACCCTGCAGAAAATATTCACTGTTATGTGCATGACTATGAGCATGTATAGCTCATTTGAAAAGAGGAGCTATTTTACTAAAATGACGATTAGGAAGTTCATATTTACGAGCTACGAAAAAGAATGATGTCAAACTTGTTGTTCATGTATTTTGTTATTGTAGGCTTAAATGATATTCAGCATGGTTTTAAAGATTGCTATTGTTGATTTGCATGATATTCAGCATGGTTTTAACTTTAAAGATTGTTATTTAGTATAAAAGGAGGCTGACAAACTCATTCAGGAGGCATTCTGGTTAGATACAAATTGGAGCAAAGGCCATTCGAATGCAGTCGTGTGAGTTTGCCAGTGTCGTCGCCTGTGTCTCAGATAAGTTGTATTGAACTCTTCTTTATCAATTTAAATATACTCTTTATTTTATTTTAATTGCTGACTAGTTTTCTGTTCGTTATATCTTGTTACGAGAAACGTAACATCACGAAGGTTGTTGAAGGCAAGATAACAATGAAGTGCTTCAGTCATTGCCTCACCAAGGGCAAAAAAATTCCGCAATAGTAACAAGAGAAACATTTGAACGGTAATTCATTTCTGAAGCTGGGCAATTTCCTTGGAAAATGGAGTATGTTGAGAGAACTTGAAATATCGTTGTAGATATGTATGTATCAATATTCCGACATCATCTTCAGCTTTTCTTTTGTGCCAAGCAGTTGTAATTTCTATTTCTTAAATCATACAAAATAGGGAAGATTTTAATAAGAGCCTCTATATAGCCCGCCATGTTTGTTTCTCTTCACGAATAGGACACGCAGTGCTTGTGAGAGTGGCCATTTAATGTCAGCAAATCAGATGCGGGCGGCTAGAGAGACCAAGGTCAAAAGTTCAACAACGAGCTTCGCATCTGAAACTACTAGCTTAGTGACCACGCAAAGTGGTAGATTTAGTCGCGCGACCAAAGCGACTGCCCAGTGTATTTTATGACTTATCGAATAAGAACAATAGAAAACTACAAACATAAACCCATTAGACTAAATGCATGGAATAAGATGTCCATGATCTACGTTCAATGGGCTACGTTCAGAGAGCGAAACTAGAATGTTAAATGGGGGTTGTTGAGTATTCATATATTCAGCTCAGCTTGACTGATTTGGTTTGTTAGCGATTGCAATTTCAAAACAAATCAGCAAGGCAGAGTTGAATATACGAATTTTCACCTCTCCCCACACACTTAACGTTCTAGTTTCGCACTTGCTATGATCAAATTGGTGTGCTTTACTGGTTTGTTCTGTTTTCTCCAAATAGTAGTTTCACATAGAGTATGTTATCATGTATTAGTAGCTGAAATAAATGCCAAAATAATCGGTTTAAGTTATATTTATGTCCGTAACAAAGAGAAATCTCCGCCAAGTTTACCAGACGCCAAGCTATTTTCGCGATGGTCGCTCACGTGTGTGTTTCTGGCGTTCAAGCAACTGACGCGCGCGCATCAACTCGCTTTATTAAGCTTCACGACCACGGCGATATAAATTGTTAAAATACACCCATTGTTAAATATTGCACGAACGCTAATATTAAAAGTCCCCGATGAGCATTGTACTACGGGTTAGTCGAAAAAGTAAAAGGGAGCCCTCAAAAGTCATCTTTATATCATCCCAATAACCATAGAATTATAAAATTATTGATATTTGCTGGTAGTTTGTTAATCTAGAAGATAAGTGCAGTTTTAAAACTTGAAATTAACTGGGGCATACCATGATAGTCTTTGAACATCGGGTTGGTCTCTTTCTCTGAGCCTGAAAAGGATTCTAACTTTATAACAACGTCACACAGCCTTTCGATGCGAGAAGCAAATGTTGTGTCCTAATTAAGAGAAATAACACAAATCACAAAAACTTACTTGATTACAAAATAAAGAGTCAAAAGAATTTGTTAAAAAATTATCGCACAAAAAAAAGTGCCGAATTTCATATGCTCATTATTTTTTTTAATTGGCTGTACATACTATTTATAAATGCTACAGTTGATATTATCACCATCAATTTGTTGAACAATGTTTTTCTTCTTATCGTATTTTGGAATGGTTTACACCACTCATATTTTACAAAACATGCTTGCGTTGCTTTTATAATTACAAGTCGTGCGTGTTGCTTGATAAAAAGAACTTTTTCGCCTTGGAGACTACAAAAACAGGTATTTTTCCTCCACACCAGAAACGGGTTAAAAACGATTAAAACATGCAAATATGTGAATTGCAAAAACAGAAAAACGAGCAACAACATAAGTTTTCATTGCTTTTATTTCAATGAAAACATACAAAGCAGAATTATAAACAGCGGATTATAAACAACATTTTATCACTAACACAACAGCTCGCTAAAAACATTTACTAACGCTTTAAATTGATAAAATTTATAGACGTTCGGGAACTTCCGACGAAATAACAAAACCCATACAACCGTATAGCAAAAAAGAATCTGAAACTCGAAAGGAGACGGCAAAAGCATATTTGTTTACTTCGTGTTTACTAAATGATACACCCGAAACCTGATTTTGCCCCCCCCCCCTCACTAATCTGCGTCCCCCAAATTTTTCATCTATGATCTGAGCCACCTCTATTACTATTTATATATAATCTTTACAGTTTCGAGTGGTAATGAAAGGAGTGCTTTTCCACTGGATGATAAACAAGTTCAACACACTTTTATAATAATGGAGTACCACTTCATATCAAAATACCTTGATTCGGTGTATAAAGACTAATGCGAATACGACTAAGCACTCATCACTTTATTTAAATTTTAAATAGAAGAGATGCCTCTGAGCCTCTGACCAGTGTAGAATCAAGCGGCTGTCAAAACATTTAAGGACCACAATATTACCAATAGGATTGGTTATAAAGCATGTTGAACTGGGAATTTGTCTGTAAATGCGAAATGCAGAAACAACAAAACTATGTTGTGTATTTTGTTTTTATTATTTTCGCTGTCTTTTCACAATAACGGAAGGTCATATTGATTTTAGGCTACTTTATCTTCCATTTATACAACTAAAAAATATTTTAGGTGATCATAGCTGCTACCCGAATAAGATAGGAGCAAGTTGTCAAATTGGCAGCTGTCGAGCTATTTGGAAAAATTTACGCAATTGAGGCGAAAATTAAGATGTTTCAAGTTTCAACGACAAAAACAAATGTTTTCCCCAAAACTTTAAAGAAAGGACAAAACATCACAATAACTATTCTACATGGTAGTAAGAAAATTAGAGATACGTAATTAGCGATAAAGATCTCTCTAACGAAATGACAAACTAATCATATTAATTACCTGATAAACATGCGAAGGGATCGTGACAAAGCATGCAGAATATGAAGATCTGACGACACCCCTTAGATAATACAGAAACATCGGCAGGGAAGTGTCATCGCCATCTCCGTAACACCACAGATCTGCATCCATCGAAGGGATTGCTACTCTTAAAATTGTTTCATCTTTAATCTAAAACAACATAAGCCATCACATTCAAAAGCATTGCTAAGACAACCAAATAGTTTACAAAATTAATCATTTCATCGAAAAAAAGGCGTGATATGCAAAGGTTTTACATAAATTTAAATACTTTCATTTAAATTTGAAAATTGCAATCTTGTCATCACACGATGCAGCTTAAAAACAAAATTTGAAACACTAATGCAATTACACTTTTGTTTTGATTTCGTTTATCATAAAGAGACCTTAATTATCGGAATAAACAAGACTGTTCGACATAAAAACTCCAATAAAGCCATGAAAAAAAATTTTATGGAGTAAAGTTTCGTGATTTTCGTCTTTAAATTAAGTAATCATTATATCATTGTATTTAGTAATCATTAAGCTGAAACTGTATATTGGTGATTATAAATAGAAGTAAACGTTCTCTCCTACAGTAGGCACTAAACTTTTGAAAAAACGTGTTTTTTACTAGTGAGAGAACTGTAGTTAAGAACGGCTTGCGCACAAAAATTAACTATCGGAAAAAAATTAACTACCCTGAGGACTGTCTAGCGCAAGCTATCAAAATTTCTAGCACGCGTATGTCAAGGGTTTATTTAAAACTTAGATCTTTTTGATCTTTTTTCACATTTCAAACCAATGAATCCGCTGGTAATGACAAATGGTAAAACAAATTAATCAAATGCTTACCTCTGTATTTGACGAACAATGGCCGTTTTCTTGAATTATGGCACACAACTTATCCAGGAGAGATTTGTAAAATGGATTTAACAATGACCTAAAATAATTTACGTTCAATGATTTTTCGCAATGATGATGAAATCACACTTGACCGACTGCACACAAACTATCAATTGGAAAACCACTTCATAAACGGACCGGTTTGAAATGCAGGTTAAAGTGCAAAAAATACACGTTTTCTTCGAACTAAAATGTCCACAATATGTACGCACACAGTTGGATTCCTTGTATTTTACAAACAAAGGCAGTGTAAAATCAAACGAAGGTCGTGCGATTCGGCAAAAGAATCAACGTGAAAGATTTAAGAAACAAATAAATATGTAATGTTTCATGTTTTTAAACTAGTCTCAGACCTAGCTACAAGACGGTCATCTGGGAAAAAACTCTTCTGAACGTGTAAAATGATAAGAAACTGTTTCGTTGATCAGCTAAGTAATCATATTTAATCACGCTTGTTATTTACACCTATAGGAGACCTTTAGAAGAACTCAACAGCAGATCAGTGTAAGCCATAGACCTAAGAGTTGCATCTGTTCGAGAGTTCTCACAAACTTCTCCAGGTTTGCTAAAACCAATGCAAACGCCAAAAAAGTCTTTTCTTTCTTTTATAAAATATTGGTAATGTGAAACCGGTACATTTCTAACATGTATTCATGATGGACTGGCAATTTCTCTTTGATTCATTTAATTCGTTGAGCTCAGATTGGTTTACTACGGTGGCCTTTATCTGTAATTCACAAAGTAGTCTGTCGATGAAAAAACAGTGCATTGAATCCAGTACATTGTTTTTAATATAAAAAATCTGTTTTGAATTCCTAACAACTTTGTGACGATGAAAATTCAGCCGAAACTTATGAGCATGTTTAAGAAAGCAATGCAAAATAAAACTTATTCCAGAGCACAAAACCAGTAGCTAATTGCAATGTACAATCAAACTTTGTTCAATGCAATATGAAAGTTTTTGTCGGTTAAATCTATAGGAGAAAATGAAAGAAAAAGAAACTGAGCGACGATCCCACTTAGAGCCCAAAATAAACAAATCTCGTTCATCAAAAAAGGTTAATGATGATGTTTTAATTAATGTCGGGCTAATGGAATATGACGGAAAGGAACCAACTCGAGTTTTTGGAAAGCCATTTCTAATAACGGAGAAGAGAAACAGCAGATGTGACTTTATTTTGTCACAATTTAGCAGTAGGTGGATCCCTAACATTTCCTGCATTTTGATTGGCTGATGCAGCTAGCGGAACTTTACTTTATTCGACCGCAGTCCGGAATTCTTTAGTAGCGATCAGAACCAAAAAAGAAATATTCAAGCGAAGGGCTCTTATGTATTAACTAAATTAGTAGCCAACTTTCTATTTTTAAAGTTTGAAATATGGAGTGCAACGTTGATTACCATGATGAAAGTTAGTTTTACTAACCGGAAGAACTGAAATTGTTGCTGACAACGTACATGAAATACACGAATGAGACGACAAAGCCCAAACTATGCGGTGGACAATATTCCAGATTTTTTCTGTCTCAACCTCCACAAACTATTATAAAAAATTCAGTATAACATATATGTGCAGAGATGCAATCTCAAGGAAGTAAAATAATTAGAGAGAAGTAGAACACATACATCCCGAAAGGATGAATGTTCTCATATGTCAATTTTTATGTCACTAAATAAAAAAGATGAAAACCATTACGAACCCATGTCCATGACCTCATTCGCTAACTCCACCGAAGTTTATACAGCGTTTCTTAGACGACAAGGTTGTATTATTTTAATACCTCTCTAAGGTAATGTCTGCAAGAAACAAGCAGTTGGTCATCGAAAACGGGAAAGGAAACCGGCCACAACATTTCATAGGGTCAAAGGAAGACGAACTCTTTCGCTTATGAGGGTTGAGATGCTTAAATCTAGAATAACTGCAAAGAATTGTATGGTGTGTTCTTTCACAAAAATTGGTTTCCGTGCCAGGACGAGAGTAAGCAATTGAAATGAGGAGACGCGAACCTTCTCACAACAAATGGCAAGAAGTTCTTGCTCTGTGAACCAGACAGAAGATTTAAACCAGGCCATGGAGATGGCCATTTCGAGTATGCAGCCAGTGGCACAGCCAGCAGCCGGCAACAAACGATGCCATAGAAAGTTTTAAAAATAATTCGGTAGACGTTGCTCTGATGCATGAAAAACACCGACTATTCCCTTCACAATCAACGACGAGTCTAATCTAAAATGCTAAAACCCCCAAAGAGAAAGAACGAAATGGGTAAATTTCTGGATAAAGCAGCAAAGAACGCCAGTATCCAAACATGTTAAAAACAACAAGCAACCCTTGATAAATGTAAAAGCCCCGATTCATAGAAAAGAGCGTCCATTATCATTCAGCGAAAAACTTAAACCATATTCTCAGCCTTTCAAATGAGTAGCTTAGTTAAGAAAAAGCAACAAATAATTGACCAGAATTTGTAATTGCCAAAGAAATGACCACAACAAAGTAGGCTTCCTCATCTGCAAAGTGTTTGTTTTCGGCTGCTAAGATTGGAAATTTTGAAAGCTGTGCATTGAATTTGAACAATACGAAAAGTAAAAAACACATTTAACGTCGATGAGTCTTCATTTCTGATAGTTTCTATTTCTGAATGAAGAGCAATGTTCTTGATTTAACAATTAACGTGCTGTTTATAGATGTAATTTTTTCTCCCTTTTTATGTCGATTGCAGAACTGTGGCCTCTGGCCGTTGGTTATCACCTCGAAAAAATATAATTCATCCGGGCTTCCCTCCCATTAAGTAACAAAAATATCTCCGAGGATATGTTGCAGTTAAGAGAAATGGTTGCAAAACCTAAGTTCAACAAGCGTAAATGACACGACTGAGTTTTGTCACAGTACAGGAGGAGATCAAGGTCTACTATACTCTTTTACGTAAGAATTGCACAAAGCGAGAGCATTTTTTCATTCCCTAAAATGGCAGCGCAAACCCAGATAACTGCAATAGATCGCAACAACATCAATCGCAAATAAGCCATCATTAAGTGAGATAAAAACAAGGAAAGCTTGAGGTGCACATCGTTCAGAGGTGGTAGCTACTAAGCGAAGAAGCAATTGCAAAGGAACATTATTGTATATCCCCATAAAATGTAACAATACATAGTAAGGACAACGGAATAGTTTAAATTCGCAAACATTTGCGAAGCAAATATTATTATAGACTCAAAACTCCATCATATAAAATACATAAAAAGATTTAAGCATAAAATAGAAGAGATTCATGGGTTTATTAGAGTTGTAACGAAAGGTTTATTGCAACCAGTGGCATACCTAGCACATATGTAAATTTCAAAGCATAAATTTAATATAATGATATCCACATGAGACACGCTGACCCCTTCCAATGACCCTTTCTAACGACCCTTCTTGTGAACGCCTTTTTAGTAAAGATTAATTCATTATTATCTTCACTGAAAACATTTTTTGCATATCGTCAACTAATTGTCTTTTTTAAAACAGTTTTCTGACGAGAATGAGAAATATCATGCGCAGCAGATAACCACAAAAAAACCAAAGAAATGCAGCCTCGTAGAAAGAAAGATATGAGCTGCACGCTAATTTAAGAGAAACATATTTGTCATAAAGCAGAAACTGAGAACATTGCATGATTTCATTCAGTTTCTAGAAAAACACTATACCTCAATTTGAAGAATCAGAAGCTCTCTTAAAGAGTGCACCACCAGCAGGGAAATATACAGGGGAAACGTATATGACCTTGCACTAACACTGCTACTACACTATCAAATACAGAGACCAGACCCACGGTTTGCATTTCCTTGATGTTGCATTTTCTTTCTGAGAAAGCATGTATGAATCATGTTTGCATGCTTTCAATAGCAGATGGAGTGTTCATCTGCAAGCAATCAATGTGGATAGTGGCTTACGTATTAATTTTTGCTGGGGGGTGTAGCTCCAAATAAGACCGACTCTTTGCTTTTACAAAAATTTATCCGTACCAAAACCAAATATAGTCTTGAGTTATGAAACTCAGAGCGTTTTGTACACTAACTCCAGTTTCATTCAAATTTCGTTGACACTGCATATATATTATTGAGAGAGGTGGCTATTTGGAATTTGAGTTTTGAAAAACTGCGTTCAGTGGATGCAGACGTTACTGGTATTGTCAGCAACAGTCTGAAACATCGCCTGGTTAATGGAAATGATCCAGTTTTTCATTTCAAAAAGTTAACGCAGAAGTTAAAGCAGAAGTTAAAGTATCGTTGACTGATCGAATTTTCCTCATAATTTTTTAACATATGACAATGGAAAGTGGCTACCAACCACTTTAGAGTTCTGTCTCCTGAGCGTCTATAACTGGTCGCATAGGAAACGGAAACATATTACAGAACTGTTCCAATTGATCATTATTTACTGTGCCATGGTATGGTAGTTGAAGCAAGGTCATAGCCGGTTCTATAAGGTAATGGCCTCCATGTTGGCCTTTAATGCACTTATTTGTACATCAAGAACAGCAATAAATTCTTTCTGTAATGATTCACTAGAATTAGTTGGGCTGCGGTTTCTGAGCAGTCGTCAATACGGCGAGGTGTCTTGCGTTGCCGGTGATGTTGGTCGTACTCAGTAGGATGAATGTGGTGTGCTTCAGCCACAATTTTTGCCACCTGTATTTGATTGTCAAGAACGTCCCTGTCATTACGAATGTGTTTAAGCGTGATAATTGTCGCCTTGAAATTCTCAAAGGTGTCGATAATATTTATGTCGATGCCTTGAACATCTGTGGTCAAGCACTTGGTCATACGCATCACGTTTTTCATAAACATCAACATTACCAAAAAGTTGAAAGACTTAATCTTCTCCTGCAATGCTCTTGCCTTTCCACGAGTTTTCATGTCATACATGGAGCCATTCAAGTTTCCTAAGACTTCTAATATGACCCCGTACGATCTCCATACTGCACGTACGGATTCTTCGCGTGCCACCCAACGTGTAGCGAAAAGATTTCGAAGCATCAGCAGTTCTTTATCAGACTGTATCATTCTATCTCGATAAACGTCGAAGCGCTTGCACTTGCCTCGCAGCTGTGCTCTATAATAGTATTTATTCTATAAGCTGTACAGGGTATGTACGGAATATTGCGTTCGACATAGTTTTTCAACATTGATTGACATCCCTTAAATACACCTCACATTGACGACGTAAAGTCATAAGATTGACATGCAATACCTTGTTTATCCAAAAGCTTTCTGTCGACTGATGCAACGATTTCTTGTGCTTGTCCGTCACGTATCTGTTTTATCATTGATATCTTTGATGTCCACCAAGCGTTCGACAGGGAGATTAAAATCAAGGTCAACATATCGAACCACCACGGCCAACTGATATATGTGTGACATCTCTGTTGTATCAGCAATTACGCTCCACATTACGCTCCACATTCGCAAATAGCAATTCTTGATATTCGCTGATAGATAACGTAAAGTGGTTTAAATTTCTATAACATGTTATCCAACATTCTGTATCTTCTTCAGATGTTGCAGTATCATCAGTCCAAGTTTCAGTATCAAAATATGAATTCACGAAGAAGGTCTCATCAGTCTGATCATGGACATTTATGTAATCAGTTGAATATTCATTGCTATAACATGCTGCCATATTACATTCAGTTACATTCTGTAGTTGTGAATGGCATTCGTGTGGACTTAACGTTTCATCTATCTGGGGTGTCTCGGGTCCTTTCTCTCCTCTACTACCTGTTGATCCTCTTCCTGATACTCTTTTTTCAATAATTCACTATCTTTAGGTGATGAAGGTGATGTTTTGTTGTGCTGTTCTTGCAGTCGATAAAAAGATTCCAGAGATTGCGGGTTGATTTGAGACCCTACATACTATGGTTGGTAATGTTTCAATGTTGTAGCTTGGGTGGGAACAGTGCTTACTAGTGTAATCCCTATTGAGTGCTGATTCACATAATTCGCACGTGACTATAAATCTTCTTCCAACAGGCATCTTAGTCACCTAATACTAAAATACAACGCGTAATTACTTAGCATAATTTTCAACCTATAATGCTAAAATGTTGGGGTTAAAGTTTCAGAAACGAAGTAAAATCGCCTTGGGTAGTATTCAGTTGTGGATTTACACAATTTCACGTCTCCACATTTTCACGTTTTAGCCAAAGCATAAATTTGAGACCAACTGTATCATTGTTGAGATCGACTGGGTTCTATCACTGGGGTGTGTGACACCCCACACATCCCCCATTAACGCCCCTGCATGTAGACTTCCGAAAAAGATTGTTAAGCAATATTTTTTCATTTTAGCAATGGGATTCATCGAACTTCAGTTAAATTGATAACAGAAGCACTGGTCTGGGTCTTCGTGGGTGCAAGAGGATATTGAATGTGCCCAGCAGGATATTTCATGGTTGAAAAGAAGTTGTTGAGTGATTTTGGTTGTAACTTTTCGAGAAGGTATTAAAGTATTTAAGGCTCATTTGCTCATCCAAACACAGGAGAGGATGTATGTTCGATTGTGATGATGGTAATAAAAATGATGATGACGATAGTCAACTCCTTCAAAAAAGGTTTCCAACGCAAGAAAACATTGCCATATTTCAGACTCATGAAAGTCGAGAGACGTTAAAGTTTTGAACGGAGGCAGATTTGGTAAAGTGGATTTACACAATACAAGCAACGATGCTAAACCTTCTTGGAATTAATCAGCCTGCCATACATAATAAAGGTTGCAATGGTAGTTACTGCTGAAAGTTGATCGAGGGAGAAAAAAGTCCCAAAATTCTTAAATATGAAGTTTTAGCCATATTGTCTAAAACAAAATTCATACATTTTGCTAATAAAGGAGGCAGTCAGCGTAAGCGTTATGTGTTCCCTATAGTTCGTTACTTATTCTATTTTATATCATACCGCTTCTCAGAAGTCTGCTCTTTATCAAAGTCAAACCATTGATCTCTTGCACAGAATCCATATTTTTTTAGTTTGTCAATTCTAGTCTCATCAAAACGTTGGATAAAATCAAAAAAGTGACCAAATTTGGTAGGAGCCGGACTCAACTATACAAAAAACGAAAAGACAAATGTTATCAAAATATGAATATTAAAGCAAAGCATATAATGCAAAAAACAGCCATAAAAATATATATATGTTTATAAAAAATTGTTAACAGCTAACGTTTCGTCTTTGTCATAAGACATTCTCAAAGCAAATGTGCGAAGTGAGTTAATATGAATAAATTAAATATAACTATTTATAAAGTATTGAATTAAAGGCAATAGTTAAAATTGGGTTAAAGAAGGAAGAGAGGGAAGGAGCTACCCTGGATGTTAAGGGAAGGTTTGTGTTTGGAAATTTAAAGGCTTTCCCGAACGAGTATAATTCGTTCCGGAAAGAACATGATGAAAGTATTTTGAAATCTTCTAAAGATGCAGTTTGACCATTATTTTTGAGGTAAGAGAAAATGTTGGATGCTACTAATTTTTCGACCTGTAAGGGCAGTGAGACTCAAGTGTCAGAGACTCTTGTGTGGCGATGACGGACCTTTTTAGCCAAAACACGATGCAGAACAGCAGCGACACTTAAAAACATAAGCCACACAAGATGAGAAGCGGATGGGGGATGGATTTAGGAATTTTGTCCTTAAAGGAGAAAAAATGAGACAGACGAAACGATTGTTAAAATGAGTGTAAGCTAAAGAACAAAGACAGGAAAATTGGGTAAGAATCTGGGATGAATGATTGCCAGTATATGGTAAGGAGAAGTAAACAAAACTTTTTTGCAACTGTGTCGGCAGTGGGTTTGGGGTTGGGATATTTTGTCGAAAAATGTTCGTATAGAGCAATCAAACAGGGGGTTGGATAGCTATTGTGGTTAAAAAACTGTCGACAGAACAGTTATGGTTCAAACTCTCAGTTGATAAATAGAACTCTTCACTACTTTATTCAATACTGTTACAAAAATAGTCGGCCAAGCTACCATTTCTCATTTGTAAATTAATATCCTGGCTTTTGCTATCGAAATCTCTCTGATTTTCGCGAGTTATCCACTAAATTTCTCTGTAGTATGTGTTTTGGAAGGCGAATTCAGTGGAGAGGCAAATGTTGAGTAAGTCTAGGATGTCATTTCTGTCTAGTTGTGTATATATATATATATGTCTAGTTGGAAGTTTATAACTGATGATTCTCCGTATAAAACAGTGCTCGATGCCCGAGAGCAGAGCGTAAAAATATGTATGTAGTGATGTTGAAAAAAAATGACAAAAACTACAAATTCATCCCGACAAGCCTGTTTCGTGATTTCTCACTCTTCAGGGGATTTAATAAATAAATACTTAAATGTTTGAAATATATATACAAGATGACGGAAGTTAGTATATTAATAAGGTGCATAGTTACAAGTTAGATGACGGAAGTTAGCGTATGAATTAAGGTGTATAGTTACAAATTACATAGGAGAGTTTTAGATCTATGGCGACAAGAGGAAACAAGTTCGTTGCGTTTATTGAGGGATGATTTGGATGGTTGGTAGAGGATGAAGAATTTTTCTTTGATGCAAAGGTTGCATCTTTTACTAGTGCTGTCGTATGGTTTGCTGAGTGTGATGATGTTCCATGAGATGTCTTGGTCAATGTTGCTGTCTTTAAGGGTCCAAATGTGCTTACTGAATTCGGTCGAGTTTCGTAGTTTTTTGTGGCGGAAAGAGGCAGTGTGATTTCTATGTCTAGTCTTAAATTCGTTTTCTGTAAGTCCAATGTACGTCTCAGTTATGTTATTGTCCTTGCGTTTCACAGTAGTTTGGTAGACGACCGATGATTGTAGGCAGTTTCCGTTAAGTGGGCAGTTTTGTTTTTGTCGGCAGTTGCATGTTTTTGTATGTGTCTTTTTGTTCGTGGTGTTCTCGTTAGTTTTGTCTAATGTTCTCAGTATATGTTTGTTATGATTGTTGATTATTTGTTCAATATTGTTCATGCAGCTGTAGCTGAGTTTGATAGTGTTACGGTTGAATATTTTCCTGAGTTTATCGTCTATGGGGAGGTGCTTGTCGATTAATGAAAGGAATTTGTGGCCAATGTTCGTGTAGACGTTTTTGCTAAATGGAGGGTTGTACCAAAGTATATTTTGTCGAAGTCTGTTTTTCCGTTTGGTAGTAGCGTCTGGGTCGAACTTTAGTGTGTATCGGTATCCGTTTTCGTCGAGTGCTTTTTGGTATGGTGCAGTTATTTGGCGAAATGATGCTTTGTCGGATGATAGGGATGATAGACGTTTGTTGATGGTGGCGGGTATGTTCTTCTTATGGTTGGTGGATGGTTGGTTTCGGTGTGGACGTATTGCAGAGAAGTGTTGGGCTTTGTGTAAGGTCGATGGGAAGAAATGTTAAGATTTAAGGTGATTTCAAGGAAGTTGATAATTTTTTTGTTTGCTTCGATAGTTATGCGTAGTCCATTGTTGTTGAAGATGCGGCATATTTCCTTTTTAATGTTCTCTGTTTCTCTTAGTGTGGTGTTTGAAATGGCAAGTCCGTCGTCTCGATAAAGTCCTATGTCTGTCGTGATGTGTTGTAGTTGAGAAAGGAGGTAGCTTCCTACGAGTTCGCATGTCTCAGCACCGTCGAAGCTGCCTATTGTGAGTATATGTCTAGTTGTATAAATATATAAATGTTTAAAGATTGGTAATCCAGGCATTGTATTATTTAAAAATAAAAGTTTCTCCGCATTTTATAAATAATTTTATTGAGCTTTCGACTCGTTGCTTCGAGCCTTCATCAGAATGAGGAACTTATCTATTTACACTTGCTTTTATCTTGTAGACGCGTAGAGCGTCTAATTGGATTAGCGGGTGGATTAATGTGATTTGATCGGGTGAAATGCGTTGCCATGGGTTTTGGTGTATTGTGAATATGATCGGTGTTAATATTATTAGAGTGTAATGTTGTAGTTTTGGTGTTTGTAGTTTTTTGTCCTTTTTCTTTAGTTGTGAGTATATGATGGGTATGTCGATATGTCTGTTTATTGTGTCGTTGTCTTTATTGTACCAAGCTTCTTAAAATTCGCGTGTGTGTTTAGTCTGTGCGCGTCCGAGTACTTTAGTTTCTGTCAAGTCGAATGTGTGGTTGTTTCGGTGGGTATGTTCTGCCGGTAGTGAGTTCGGATCTCGTCGTTTTATGGCGTTTTTGTGTTTTGTGAGTCTTGTTTCGATTTTCTTTGATGTTTGTCCTATGTATTGCTTTGAACAGTCTTTACATGGTATCATGTAGATCGCGTCGGTTGTATCATAAATTGTTGTTTTGTCTTTATGTTTGGTGAAACATGATTTGAGTTTTTGTGTAGGTTTGTGGGCGAAGTTAATATTAAATGATCGAAGAAGTCTGGAAGTCATTTCTGATGTTCCGTTTATGTATGGTAATATTTTTACTGTTTCGGCCAACCGGGCTGAAATTGCTCCATCAACTGACCATATCACCCCATTCGTTGGCTAGATTAATAACCAACTTCCTAATATTAAGTTCACCTATGAAATCGAATCTAATTCCACACTTCCTTTTTTCGACATCAGCATCATCCGTAAGAATAGTCCATTTGAAACTTCTATAAACCAAAGTTCACATGCTTATTCACCAACTTCCACAGCTTTATACCTCCTCAATATAAATGCAGCTTAATATTCTCACTCGCACATCGCTTCTACAATATCTGCTCTAAGAATGAAAACTTCCATAACCAGTCAGAATCATTGCGACAGTTTCTTAATCACAGCAGCTACCCAACCCGTCTGTTTGATCGCTGTAAAGCAACATTTTTAGACGAAATATCCCAACTGCAACCCATTGCAGACGCAGCCGCAAAAAAAAGTCTCGTACATATCTCTACTGTATACTGGCAAAAACTTATTACAGATGCGTACCAAAATTCCCGTCTTTGCTCTTCAGCTTATTCTCATCTTAACATCCGTTTCGTGTTTCGCCCCACTCAAGGACTGTCTCATTTCTTCTCCAAGTCTCATCTTGAGTGGTTTATTTTTTAGGTGTCGCTGCTGTTATGCATTTTGTTTGGGCCAAACGGTCCGTCATCTCCACACCAGAGTCTCTAAACACTGAGTTTCACTGCTCTTACAGGTCGAAAAAGTTCAAGCCCTATAGCATCCAGCATTTTCTCTTACCTCAAAAATACTGATAAAACTGCATCTTTAGAAGATTTCAAAATACTTATTACAAGATTACAAGTACAAAAAGTAATCCAACTGCAACAGGAATTCAGGAAATATCCAGGAATTTATGTACGTCATCGGCTTAAAATTGGACGAACTTTTTAGCGACGATATAAAAAAACGTACAATATCACTCTTTACGTTTACAAAACTTTAATAAACACTTACAATCCCTATCCTTAATCTAAAGATTATTGTTGTATTGCTATTGCTTTCGTCGAAAAATCGGAGATAAAACTAATTTCGAGGAAGAAAATTTATCCATCCTAATCCATGAAAAAAACTGGCTTCGCTGATACACATACCCACATCAGGCGTAGGGTGTTGCATCGAAAACCACTTTCCTTTCTTTTTATGAAACAGGGTTTAAATTGGTTTAAATCAATTAGCATGTATTGAGCTGTTTTTTAACGACTTTCAAGAAGTTCCTATTTTGTATTCATGGCTGACAGCTAAATTCGTGATAAACTTCATCGTTAAAAGCACTAGAAAAATTTTGTGTTCCAAAGCTATACTCCTTAAATTTTTAATTTTCTCTTTGATACTGTCAAAATTTTATGGGAGAAAAATTTTTTCTGCTCAAAATTTAACAATAAAGATGGTCAATGTTGACATGTGATATCGAGGCGTGTATTTTATGACAGTGGCGGACTCTTTATGAAATACTGGGGGGAGGGGGACTCGTCACTAACAATCACTAAATATTTATAAAATTTACTACACAATAACAAATATTTCAATTTCATTTCAATTCATTGACGTGCATATGCAATGAATTTTTACCCTTCATTTTTATTTAATATATTTAAAGATCTTGCCTCGTAGAGTTCATTTTTGCAATCAGAATTTTAATTCGACAAAAAGAGAAATTTTCGTGACTCTTTAAGGGGCCGATTATATGAGGCGAGTTGTCAACTCGGCAAAGCGGGTCAACTCGTCTAGCCAGGACAACTCGCCCATGTTATCGGCCCCTAAAGTTGCGATTTTCAGCAATTTTAGTGCGAACTTCAATAATGACTCAACGTATTCATCATGAAATAAGCTGTAGTCTTCAATCGATTTGAAAGCTGCGAAACCTTGTTTGTCATAATTAGGCAAATGGTAGACAAGATGGTTGAATATATCGTACAAACCGAACAGTGGATAATGGGTAAAATCGTTTGTAGCGTTCATTTTAAAAGGATCTTGCAAATAAAAATCATTAATCATAAGGCGACGGCTTATGCTCATTTGCTCTTCAGCCTCGGTAGTCTGGCACATCTATGGCAATTTCATTTCTTCGACCGCACAAGCAATTGCAATGAGGCCAGGTTTGAAATAACTACACTACCGCTCGCGTATTTGTTAACATAATTTTGCGTATGATACACGTGCCATACGCGTATCGTTCTCGTATCATACGCGTATCGTTCTCGTATCATACGAGTATCGTTCTCGTATCATACGCGTATCGTTCTCGTATCATACGCGTATCGTTCTCGTATCATACGCGTATCCTTTTCGTATCATACGCGTATCGTTCTCGTAACATACGCGTATGTTTTTCGTATGATACGCGTATCATATGCGTAGCGTATGTTAACAAATACGCGAGCGATACTGTATCAACACTAACTCCACCTTCTTGCAGATAACTCTGCGATTTCCAATAACTTAAACTTCTTCTTAAGTCTGCTTTTATCCATATTTTCGCCTAGCTATCTATAACTTAAAACGCATTTTTCTGCAACAATAATGTATATGAGTCGACGTTCATGTTTGTCCTACTTTTCCACTTAACAACCACGTGTACCCCCCTTCCCCCCACGACGTTTAGTGACAAAGATATCTACTGACGTGTTCAATATTTCAGTCCACAGGATTTAGTAACGTTTGATAAAAAGAAATTTTAGATAGTATCTACATAACTACTCTGTTTGATTCTAACTGCTTTACATTTTGTTTTTTGAATTACAGCGAGGATAACGACTTCAGTTTAAAAAATCACCAATGTTGGTTTAAGTTCATATTTACCATTCCATAAATGCACTCCAAATTAATTTTGACAAGAACATCGTCTTTGTTTTCAGGCATGCTCAAAATTCTCACGACAGCAATTTTAATTTCCGTGTTTGGATGGTCTGATCAAGACACGGCATTGACCAATCAGAGCACGAGTTTTAAGTATGTTATTTTATAAAGTTATTTCGGCATTCGTTGAAATCAGTCCCTTAACATATTAATAGCACAGTTAAGCTAGAGAGTAGGCTTCATAGCTGAATAACTTGATGTGCAACATGTACTCTGTAATTGTTTGTCAATAACGGCAGCAAAAATCATCTATCTCTTGGGTTTCTTGAAGGCCAAACCTTTTTTGATGACATTGAAAAATCAATTGCATGGTATTTTTTCAACAACAGCAAAACTAATCATACTTATAAGATACCGAAACCTTTTTACAACACCCCCTCAATTTTTGGCGGGTTTTGCTCTTGGATTTGACATAAATTTCACAAAAAAGAGAGAAAATTAAAGTTTTGTAGCAGTTGACTTTTACACAACACGGTGCCAAAAAGCGTTAGCGTGTTACATATAGCTTGAAGTAATGAGTATTGGTTAACGTGCAGTAACTTTCATTAATATCTAGGAAGTTCTTTGAATGTGTTTTATGGTACACGTAGTAGCGACCACGGCAAATAAAGAACCGAGAAGAAATTACTTACGTCGACTTTAGACATGTTTTCATACCGCCATGCTATTTTCATGCCCGCAAATTCTTCCTCTTGTGATGAATTCAGTTTTCCTTCATTATTTTTCTCATAGTTGACGTCGTTCACAGCACGAGGCAAGTTCTTAAGAAAAAGTCAGAATAGTAATAGAGTTTAGAATTTTCTAGTCAACTACATTCGTGTTAGCAAAAATTTCAATACATACATGATATTGAACGAATTCAAACTGTTAAATAGTGAAAGCAAAACACATAAGACATATTTCTTATGGGATAATAATCTGCGAATAATGATCCAAAAAATATGAGATGAGCCAAATTTTACAAAATAAGTAGTTTCCGATTTAACAAAAAAACAATTTGTGATACAAAAACAGAGGCAAAAAGGCAATAGCCACCATAAGAAATATAGATGTTATTACACGTACGAGCTAAATTCTAACGCGTTATACCTTATAAGACAATACTGAGTGAGCGCAGAGTTGTGTAGTTAAGTACAATGAAAGTTTCCAACCAAAATACAGTCATTGCCAAGAGTAAAAGACGACAAAAACCATAACAATTCGCAAATAAACTTTTCAAATATAGTATCTTAGTTTTGTCCAGAAGTTAGAATTAGTCATGGTTTTGTTAGAATCCAGATAAACGGTAAATTGGCAAAAGGTTTCGCATTGAAAATTACAGAGATAATTTCAGTACGAGAGCTTTTTTTTATCCTAAATTTCTTCCTTGTTTTTCGGCTAATAATTCTGTTTTTAGTCTGTGGATTTCTCTAATAAGTTACAAGCAGCGAGAAGGTTAAAAAAAGCGACAAAAGCAGTTAGTACCTTCCACATTTCTGTTGGATTTTCGTCAGCAGTAGCCAGAAATAGTGAGTGCTCGGATACCACACCCTCAGCAAGAAAGCACCTCATTAGTATTTTTGAGAAATACGAGCCGACGTCGTCCTCTAAAAACAAAAACTTCTGCAAAATAACAATGACGAAGGCTGTAACTTGAACAGAATTCAAGGTGGGAAAGAAGCGAGAAAAATTATAGTGTTTTAATCCAATTATACGCGCATTTTTCAACATAACGTACATGTATGAAACACATAGTATGATAGGAGAACGATACGCGTAAGCAATAAAGCAATAGGCGTATATGATACCTCGATGATACAAGTATGTGTAAAAAAGGTACATTTATTAGCTGTACAGTAAAGACATGCATATACGAACGATTAGAATACATATATGGCACTGCCACTTTTGGGACGCGTAAGATAGGAGTTTATGAATACAACACCCTTATTGGCCCTTTTTGTCAACACAAGTCAAAACCTTTTTTATAAGGCCCTTATTTCAGTCACAACCAATTAAATTTCGTTTCAATGTCAAGTTGCCAATTTATATTGGTGATTAACGTTGAATGCAATGGCTGCCTCGCATGATTTCAATTCTTTGAACGAAAATTATAAAAGTCAAGCTCTAGATAAGTTAATAAAGTATAAAGAACATTTCAACTTCTGTCATGAAAAATAAATGATTTGGAGATCTTAAAACACCGAAACTTTTTATTGTTGATCTGTTTAGTCTACTAATGATAAACGCATATCGACAAAAACGATACGCGTTTGATACGAAAACTATAAGTCTATCAGCGTATGATAGATATTTGAATGAAACGCATAGGATCGCGTTTCATACGTTTGACATCTGTAGTAACTGACTTTCGATTTCATTTGTGGGAGTGATTCTTAGATTTTAACCACCGCTGCTGGGATCATTCTAATTTTTTATTAACAATTAACCTTTAACTTCCATTCAATTAACCAGAGATGTATTGCTATCGCTAGTTGGGGCTGTTATTCATATATTCACGATATGCTGTATTAATATCTCTTGAAATGTATTATTACCTACGAATTTATAACACGCATATAGGAATAATTTCCACAGTTCTTAAAAAGTGTTCAATGACATTATTACCATCATCAAGCAAAGGGTTAACTTCTTGTTGCAAATAAGAAAGCCCCTAGAAAAACATCCTCCGAGTTGGGCAAAACTAGGTTATTTCTTGTCTCAATCAGGACAGAATCACCACCATTATCCATTTCATAAGTTTGCCTATTGATTATGGATGAATCATTGGAAGCAGTAATCACATTAGTATGCCAAACAGCTAAAAGTGATTCACGATTACTTGTTCTTAACCCATGGTGATTCCATTGTCTACGAAATTCATCAATGGATTTATTGATTCTAGGCAGGAATACATAGTGAAGTGCGTAGAGGCGAATTAGAGGCGAATAAGAGGCGAATTTCATTTAGAGAATCTAAAATGGCACTTCTCTCCAGATACTTCAACAAATCTTTGTATAAGGCTGTCATTACCCGATTAACCTCAGCCCATAAACGCTCAATCCACTGATTGTGAACACTTCTGCCTGCATTAAAGCTTCCACGATTAGTGTCTCTATTTAAGCGTATTTCAAGCGACCTTACTTCTAGTAGACTCTCCACTCCACAGTCCTATCTATGCACACTTTTAAAACGGGGTGAGAACAATGAAACCCAACATACTTTCTTACGACCTACTCACGCGCACTTTGCCTGAGCACATGGACTACCTAAAACGCACAAACAATTTGACACATTACCTAAGTTACGACCAATAATTGACACCACAAACACACCACACTACAACGTAGGCAAATTCATTGAAAACCTTTTGAATCCACTCACCCTAAATAAATTTTCATTACAAGACTCTTTCGATGCTACTGATGCTATTAAATCTATACCTAAAGATCTATTTTCCCAAGGTTATAAGTTTGTCTCTTTTGATGTTGAATCCGTTTTCACCAACGTGCCTTTGCGTAAAACTATCAACATTGTACTAGATCGCATTTACAAACAACATATTATTGATACCACACTCCGAAAATCAACACTCAAAAAACTTATTATTAATTCATGCACCAAAACTATATTTTCTTGCAACGGTATTTTTTATGAGCAACTTGACGGGGTTTTCATGGAGTCTTCTCTCGGTCCCGTCTTAGCTAATATAATTCTCACTGAGTTTGAAAACATCATTGTCACTGATTTGACCAACTCAGGTGTCCTTAAGTTTTACCGACGTTATGTTGATGATACTCTTGTTCTTATGCGACATTCTGACATTCCTCATGTTCTTGCCAAATTTAATAGTTTTGATAAAAATCTTAAATTTACTTTTGATGATTTTTCTGACTCACATGTCCACTATCTAAACCTCAACATAACCAACAATGACATTGATATATTCCGTAAAACAACTCATACTGGCCAATATACACATTTTTCAAGTTTCGAACCTTTCAACCGCAAAACTACTTGGATCAATTCCCTATTTTTTCGCGCATTTAAGATTTGTTCTAACCAAACACTATTCAAAAAACAAAATCAAACACTCCAGTCTTTTATGTCATGGAATGGTTTCCCTCTTACAGTCAGGAAATTCTTGATTCATAAACTCAAAACCAAAATCATAGCTAAAAATAACCCCCCTAAACAAAATACTGAGAATGACCTTCGCAAAATTTTCATTAGAATACCATATCTAGGCAAAAAGGGTGAACGTTTGGTTTTCAATCTTCTTCGTAAAATTCGCCATAGCTTAAAAATTCCCATCAAACCTATAGTTATATATGAAACACAAAAGACATCAATTTCCTGTCTCAAAAAGGACAAAATTCCGGAACTCTCTAAAGCCAATGTTATATATGAATATAAATGTCCGGGCTGTGGTCATACATACATAGGCAAAACTGAACGAAACCTACACACAAAACTATCCCAACATGCCACTAATTACAATAATTCTAGTGCTATCTATCAACATTTACTCATTTGTCCAGACGCCAACAACATCTCACAGCTTTTCTCACTTTCTAACGTCTAGACTCTCATTCACTCAGAAATATTTTCACTCTCATTCACCGAACCTGAAGTCACAACAATGGTGGAAATAAAGTCTTATAGTTTACTCTTGCAATGTACTGCAACAATTGTATTTTTATTCAATAATGCATGGCAAATTTGTTCAAACAAGGTCTTCAAATTCATATTTTTTATATCCAGAGTTCTTCAAGGTTTTCCGCCATTTTGTAAATTTTTGTTCTAAGGTATCCGTTACACGGAGTATTTTCAATATAAGTTACGCAACCGCTGTCCAGTACGCCAGTCAGAAATATGGACCTATGGTTGATTTTCTCAACTAGCGTATCCTTTTTTCGACTAATGCTTAGCATTTTCAGGTATCGTTTATAATTCTCAACAGCAGTTTAAAACAAATTTGGACATATGCTTGCCTTTCTCGTATGTCATTTATGACTCTCGACAAGCGGTTGAATTCTCGATACACTTTATGTTTTACGTTACGTTTGGCGTGCACATAACTGCTAGGCGAGTAAAGAAAACAACTTAACAACTACAAGAGTAGTCAGTTGTATAATATATCATATAGTAGTTCAGTCTGTGATATACCCATTCAGAACGCATCCAAGTATTGTTGGAACTTGTATAGAGCATATCGAAAAAAATATATCATATAGTGAGAATGATGTAGTAATGATTGCAATTGATAAGCCTATAGTCCTGATGTACATGATATGACAAGAAAGATATATGACGAGAAAGATATGACGAGTAATTAAATTACGACAAGTATTTAAATTAAGGTTCTCTCACAACAAATATGGCGACTACGAACACAACAAACAACTCTTGGGAAGAGCTTAGAAGTTTTTTTCAAAGTCTTAACAACTTGTTTTCTCGTTATCAGTTATTACTTTTGGTTAGAGATCCTCTAGATTTCGAGCAATGCACACAAAAGTTGGAACAGAGTTTACCCATTGTGTTAGTCATTTCGCAGCAAACAGCAGAGCGATTACTAGAGAGAATAATGAGCAACTTATGATAATGGAAACAGAAGATTAGATGAAAGACCTTGCTTTGGCTTGTTACTCGAGGAATTGATGAATGAAATCGAAAGCCATGTTAGTAATATACATGTTCAACTGCAACAACTTTCATCACGCGACAGACGCAGAGATGTAACTGCTCTATTGCCGACCACTGGCGGGCGTCCAGCTTTTCATACAACTAAAGCTAAGATACAGCAACTAAGGGATACAGGTATGACTTGGAAATCTATTGCAGAATTCTTTGGTATTTCAGAGAGCCCTCTTTCCCGTAGAAGAATTGATCATGGAATATTAACTAGCTTCTCTGAAATAAGTGACGAAGTATTAGATGGAGACATTGAAAAGTTTAGAAGATGGAGACATTGAAAAGTGCAGAAGTTTATATTATTGGCAGCCTTAGCGCTGGAGGCATAAAAGTTTGAAGGGAAAGAGTAAGGCAGAGTCTATCGAGAATTGACCCAATCGGTAGAAAAATTAGCAAAGATTTGCAGTATGTACACGAGTTTAAAACGTCCCAGGACCGAACTATTTATGGCATATTGATTCTAACCATAAGATGATAACATGGCCCCTCGTAGCACATGGCTGCATTGATGGCTTTAGCCGAACAGTTATTTACCTTACATGTTGCACAAATTATTGTGCTGAAACCGTGCTAACGCTGTTCCTGAAGGGAGTTGATGATTTTTGGGTTGCCATTGCAAGTGCGAGGTTATCGTGGAGTAGAAAACGTGGATGTAGCCAGGGAAATGATTGCTCGCCGAGGTGATCACAGAGGTAGCTTTACAGCTGGACGCTCCGTTCACAATCAAAGGATTGAGAGATTGTGGGCAGAAGTAAATAGAGTGTCTTCTGCATTACACATAGGAATTTTCAAATCTATGGAAGAAAACTGGTTGTTTCATCCTTTAGACGAACTCCACTTATTTTGTCTTAATTTTGTTCTCTTACCACGAATCGATGCATCATTGTTAAAATTTAACGGACAGTGAAATCATCATGGCTTTAGAACAGTCAAACATTAAGCTCCATTGGCAATTTAGCAAACTAATATGATACCTTTAACAGATGATTCTCTACTCGTTAATGTCGAGGAATATGGAGTTGACTATGATGGGCCAGTTCTGGATGTCATTTTAAATAACAATATCGTTGTACCCAATTCTTCAGTGAAACTTACACTTTGCACCAGTCGTGAAGATATGGTATGTTTCAAGCCAAAACTGGGTAAGAATATCTTTCATGACACAACTTCCTTCACCAGCTTCTTCTTTTCCTCTTATGTCTATCACGGTGGCAAAAATGAAGCAATCAATGATTTCTGGATCTTTGAAAAGTGTGAGCATATCGGAACAAGTTGTCGCACGATGCACCACAACTTTTAATTGGTCTGTCCTCAATTGGTTTGGGATGCCATTTACAGTCTGATGTATTTTCCTATACAGCAAAGACGTTATCACATTTCATATTAGTATTGTGCAGTTTTACAACCCTAACTAATTGAACAAGTCACTTGAAATTTTTGTAATAAGAAAAGTGAAACAACTTTAAATAATACCTAAATCAATGGCATCCTCCTAAGTATTTCGTTTTCTTTGCTAAAACATTTAAAAATCATATTAGTGTTGTATACTGATTAGTAACTTTTCATGTTTGTTGAAAAGTAGCTAATGAGTCATCTTTTTCTTTACTTCAACATTTACCTTGCACAAAACCTACTAAGTATCAAACAGATTGCAACTAAACAGGTGAATTATATATAAAATAAATCAACATTGTACTTAATAAAGAATCAATAATAAAGAGAAAAATGATTACTGTATAATATAAATGATTAACTAGGTCAGTACTTTATTTATTACTAACATAACCCAAAACAAATTGTTTTAAAATATTAACATTTTGGCATAAGCGACATTATATGGTAAAATAGTTTTATCCAGATAGTTCTTGGGCTGAAACATTCAGTAAATAATTCAGCCCTAAAACCATTTCCAAATAGACTAAACATGAACATTTACTATTGGTGCTGTGACAACGGTCGCTGTGTAAAAACATATTTCCTAGATTAGATTTCCAGTATTTCGTAATCGACGACTTGGGCGAATATATACTGTTTTTATCGAAAAATCCTGTGGGGAATAATACCATCAAGAAATTGTGAAGGTGCCAAAGTAGGTGTAACCAAACTATAATGTACTGAAATCATTAATTCTGTATCCACATTTGGAGGAATCTTTCCACCAGACGCTTCGATTATGGAAGTTTCCACTGCAGCATCGGAAAGATCTTGTGTGAAACGCACACTACATAGAATATGGCTATTCTCGGTCAACACAAGACGAGTTCCCTGCAGTGGCACTATCTCGTCCTCCGGACAGCTTAAAAGAAAAAGATCCCGAAGAAATGGCCGATTATCAGGGGTTTGCTGCTGTCTCCGATCTCTTCGAACAGTAAGAGAACATGTGCTGGGCCTTGAAGCCGGAAAATAACGCCTTGCTTGAAAAGCAGTGTTTCTACGAATAGGTGAACGATTATCGTTCGAATGATTTGGTTGCTCACTTGAAGAGACACTTGGGACAGAAGCCCTCGACGTAAATACACTTCTTACTTCAGCATTTAGCGAAGTACTTGACGGTGGAGAAATGATTTCTGAAAGCTCATTTACTCTGTTAAGTAATCTTGTACAACTGATGCATTGTTTTCCGCCATTTTCGTTATGAGTTGGCCAAAAACATGAAGCAAACCAGTAAAAAAGTAACCGCTGACTATTTGTACAGTCCAACATCTCGTCATATCTTTCGCGTCATTGGCGTCAATCCTGTGTTAATTGGGGACCGACCTTACTCATATATTATTATGACTGGCTGATTTCTTTTCAAAACAATTTCACTTTCAAAAGAAATCAGCCTGGCATAACAGAATATTTGAATATGGTCCCCAATTATCGCAGGATTGACGCCAATGTTTATCGTCATACATCTTTCTCGTCATAACTTTCTCGTCATATATCTTTCTCGTCGTATCATATACATCTGGACTATAGGCTTATCGATTGCAATCATAACTATATCATTCTCACTATATGATATATCTTATTCGAAATGCTATATACAAGTTTCAACAAAACTTAGATGCGTTCTGAATGGTTATATCCCTGACTGAACAACTATATTATACAACTGACTACACTTTAGAAGAATATGCCATTCTATACGTATGCTACGAACAAAGCCAATGACTTTCGATTTTAACCTGCTAGCAGCTGACAAACCGAACAGGCGAAAATCTCGATCACTGCGTGCATTTCTCGACCAAAGCTCGCGTTTCTCAACAGTTGTATGCGTTTCTCGATTATTGCAATCACCACTCAATACCTTCGCGCATTTCTCGAATGTGGTATTCCCAAATTTCGTGTATCGGACAGACTTTTCTCGATAACGGTGGGTAAATCTCGACTATTGCGTGCACTTCTCGACATACTTTTGTATTTCTCAATATATTTTTGTTCAGTTAGGTTTGCCATAAAAAATGTGTAGCTATTTTTTATTGGAACATGATCTGATTTATGCTCCAATTACTAGAGCATTTTCCAAATGAGAAATTCAATTCATTAGTAAGGCAAGATCAATATGCTAAACGAAATACTACAGTTATATATATATATATGTTAGTACAATGTAATATTTAAATATTCGTCATTAACTTTCACTGTGTTTCTAAATTGCTATATCTTCGATTTAAAGTTATTCAAAATACTGTGGGACTATTGATAGCATATTTTCACTAATGTGTTTTAATTACCAAACAAAACATTTCAAATTATGCTTCATCAGAGTCAAGCATCAACTAGGTTATTATAAATTATCATTTACATTCAGTTTAATGCAGTGGGTTAAGATAACCATTTGAACGAAGTCATAATGATAAGTATTAAGCATGAATGGTCAGCAAAACAACCAACAAAACATGAATGCATGGTCTAAAATTTGCAGTACCATGTTATCCATGAAAACTGCAATAGCGTTGCCCCTAAACTCAACATATCTTTATTGTTGCACTATATACATAGAAATATTTGATCAAACTGATCAAAAACACAAATGAAGATAACTGGTGGTTTAATGTCAATGCATCAATCATGACAATGACGATGGCTTATTTCATACAATTCACAATGCAAATTCTCAAACAAAAGAAGACAAGACAATAATTTACAAAATGTCGAAAATTGTTTATTTCTCTGCCACAAATAATATGTGATGCAGCTGATTCCAGCAGTTTGGAATGAAAATTTCATTCTTGCACAAGCATAGGTGGCTCAGATGAAAATCAACTGGCTGAAAGTGACATGCTAGTGTTATTCAACATAACTACATTTTTAAGAATTCTAAAATGTAAGATGAAATACTTTCACAATACATAGGTATCCAGATTTGGGAACAGAAACATTGGAAAGGAAACTAATTTTCTAAAACAAAATTATCCTAGCCACACATGAAAAATAGCAATCTTCTTACTAACTGATGTGGGGTACAAACTGAATTAAATTTAAAGTGTGCATTATAATACTTTATAATATAAACACAATGAAACGCATGCGCTGATTAATCTAGAGCTGAGTTTGTATTAGCCAGTGCAAAACATATCTGAGCTCAACCAATCAAATCAATCTAAACAATCAATCAGTCAAAGAGAATTTGCAAATCAATCATGAATACAATTGAGAAAAAATTAAAATGTTTGTCTTTTTCACATTATTGTCATCATATAAAAGAAATAAAAGATGTTTTTCGTGTTTGCACTGGCTTATGCAAGCCTCAGAGACATTTTTGAGAACTCTTGGCATGTGCAACCCTCAACCTTCGGTCTTGGGCTTGCACTGATCTGCTCTTGAGTTCTCTCAAAAGTCTCCTCGGTTTGCATAAGCATGTGCAAACACAGTAAACATCTTTTATTTTTCTTTGGAAAAATCATATGCATCCATTTTAGGTTAATCTAAATGTAAAACACAGTAATGGCAGTACCAACGAGTAAAACAGTTCCAACAGCAAGACCACCACCTAATAAGAACATAAAATAAGCAAACATTAATTGGGCCCAGCCCCTGTTAATGACATGAATTAATCCAAAAAATTCAGATGTTATTGCTTTAAAAAGCTTATAAGTCATTCATAATCAATGAAAAATTTATGTGAATAGGTATAAATACAGGAAGAATATATTTAATATAACAAATAACAAGTTAACTCAACATAACACACATTCATTTTATCTTTAAAAAATGTAAATATGAAGTCAGAGAACAAGGATATTTTACAGACTTTTTGGACTTATTAATATCAACTAATAAAAAATATAATAGTTGAAAAAAACATTTCTAACTGCCTTTGCAGATATCTTCACTGCATATATGGAATAAATAGATAATATTATACACAGTGATATATGGTTTCCAATACATAAATCACAATGTGTCAGAATTTATCAAACAAATGGATAAAAGAGCTTAGCAAATACCTACAAGAATTATAAACAAATTAACTATTAAACTGCAGAATACCCTGCAACATATTTTACTACCTGTTTACTACTTAAAGCCTGATCCGTACCATTACCTTAATTATAACCTAGCCTAATTGTTGACATTTGTTGTTTGGTCTTTGTGGCAGGGTATCCAATAATTGTGCCTTAAATTAAAGGAAAAATTATAGAGGCAGATGTGCTTTAAATGCCTTTTACGTATATGTTAAATTCAACATTGAATAGGGGCAATTCTATGCTTGCACTGTTCACACAATGTTCCACATCCATTTGATGTCTGTAGTTGTCATGGTATAAAATTTCAGGCAATCCCGCTAAACGTATGGCCTGCGTTATATAATAAGATGATCAGTCACTGATAACCTTACCTAATAAAGAATCAAGCGAGGGAACTCCAGTTGAAATCAATAATTGATTATTGTGCAGCGAAATTTTCGTTCCACGGACATTGCTGATTCGACCACGGTTACTTTTCTTTTTAAAGCTAGAAGCCATTTCCACAAAAAAAATAAACAATTTGATGCTCAATGGTTATCAAAACATGAAATTGCAAACAATTAATAAATGATAATCAGAGCTCGTCAAATATCGGTGAGGCCCGTTCGTACATTCAAATTCAAACTTTAATTTAGGCCTTGTTCAAAACACCCGATTAAATAAATAATTTTGCGCGACAAAAAACGGACAAATTGCACGCGAATTATGCACGTACTAAAATCATTGAGTTCTATCGATTGAGTTCTATAATAACTGGAGCGGCTATCTCAAGCGGGCTTTAATTAGCGGCTGATAGGGGCGGATTGAAACAACGTCACATTCAGCACGCGACGTAGTTAAATTCTTCACAACAGCGGAAAAAATTAAACAAATTTTAAATGCCCCTAGTTTAAATTAAAAACAATTTGCAGCGTGTGGAACGAAGTTCGTCTTGTCGAAAGGACCATCCAGGGGCGGATCCAGCTTCTGGGCTGACCGTGGCTAGGCTCTTGCCGATTGTGCTAGCATAATTTTTGGCATAATCTGAGGAATTGAGCATAATTTTTGCCCTTTTTCAAAAAGTAGCACTGCTAGCATAATCCGTATATTTTCTTGTCTTAATAGCACAATTCAAGAAAACGAAGATCTCAGCTGCTAAAAACGATAGATTACTATTAACAGTTGCTTCCACTCCTATTTTTCGATTTTTTTTACTTGTGTTGAGATACCGCGGGAGTTCGATGAAACGGAACCGGAAGTCTGTGTCTCGGTCCCAGACTCCTTAGTCTTTCTCCCAGTGCTCGTTTCAAAATGGCGGCCGCCACGCCAAACCAGTCAAGTGCAGTGAACTTACATCCAGATAGTTTACAAGGTTGCGAGAACAGAGAGGATAGACCAAAGCCTGCACAACTTGCCCGGGATAGACGCCTCGAATCCACCACGGGAAAATACAAGAGGAGGGGGACGAGTAATGTCACTAATGCGAAAAATGTCCCTTTGCAAGATCGTATTAATCAGTTCCCTGATCAGCACCTGAGTGTCAGAGGCACAACGATCTTTTGCAATGCGTGCAGTGAAATGGTATCATCCAAAAACAGCATTTTAGCATCACATTGTAGTTCAAGAAAACATGCCAAAGGGAAAGATACGCTGAAGAGATCAAGGTTAAGAGAACAAACGATAGCCGAGGCACTCAGCAGAGAGAAGACTCGTAAAGACAACACGCTGCCGTTGGCTGAGCAAGCATACTGACAGGAAGTAGTGGAGGAATTTTTGAAAGCAGGGATTCCAATCGGGAAGGTAGACAGGCTACGTCCTTTGCTAGAGAAAAATGGGTATCGCCTCACTCATAGTGCGCATCTCGGACAGTATGTTTCTCTTATTTTCAAGCAAGAGGTTGAGAGAATAAAGAAGGAACTGTCTTTGCCAGGAGAAGATATGACAAGGGACGTTTCAGTAATATTTGACCGGGAGCACCAGGCAAGGTGAGACTATTGCGATAATCCTTCGTTTTATTAATGATGAGTGGATGATAACACAGCGTCTTATAAGAATTGACATTTGCTCAAAGTCGGTGAATTCAGAAGAACTAGCAAGAGTTCTCAACGAAGCCCTTTGCGTTGAATTTGGGATCAAGGCGAACTCTTTGCTTGCAGCGATGAGGGATGGAGCAAGTGTCAATCAAGCAGCATTGGATCGGATAGCATTCATCTTCCCAAAGATGTTGAACATTGTCTGCTTTTCCCACACGCTCGATAATGTTGGCAAACATCTGGAAATTCCTACTCTTTTGGAGTTTGGAAACCTGTGGGTACGCTTATTCAGTCACAGCCATAAAGCAAAGTTGGCATGGCAGGATCTAACCGATCGAAAGCCGAAATCGTATAGCGAAACACGCTGGTGGTCAAAATGGGAAGTTTACAGGCAGCTACTGGAGCAGTTTGGAGACGTTGCTGTATTCCTGAATGATGCGGAAGTAGAGAACATTGCTCCAAAGATTGTGGCACAGCTTCGAGCTATATTCTCAGATCCTCAGCGCCTTGTCGATCTTAAGCTTGAGTTGGTTGTGACCATTGATGTAGGAGAGCATTTTGTCAAAGCTACATACTACTTGGAAGGTGACGGCCCCCTTGTGTTTTCATGCTACGAGAAGTTAAAGGCTGTCACCGAGGCATGCCAAGCTCCGCACTTTTCTAATGTACGCGCAGTTGCTGCCGCAATTGCCAACGAAGATGCTACTCAGAGAGCCGCGGTCTAGAACGGAAGGCAAAAGTTTGTGTACAGCCGGCTATACTTTGGTTCTTGCAGAAGTTTAACGTGAAGCTCTATGACACCGTCACGGCCTTCAAAGCTGCAAGAATCATGTGTCCAGTTGCCGTTCAATGGATGAGGCCTACACCCGCCACAATAGAAGCCCTAAGGATTTTCCCTTTCCTCGACAATGATGCAACTATCAATGGCCTAATTAGAGAGCTTCCACAGTACGTCGCTGCTGCTCAGGATGTGGTCATTGAACAAGAGGAAAAGAAGGTGGAGTGGTGGCAGGCCCACGCAGACCGTCTCCCAAATTGGTCCATGGCAGTGAAGAAAATACTGTTGGTCCAACCATCGTCTGCTGCCGCAGAGAGAGTATTCAGCATCCCTGCAGCTTCATTCAAGGATCAACAAGATCGTGCACTTGCAGATTACTTGCAAGCAAGTGTGATGCTTCAATATAACAAGCGCTAATTAACTGTTGGAGAACGAATTAGAGAAGTCAAGCCGGACTGCGTGGTTCAGAAACTAGCGAGATTATTCAATGTTAAATTTGTTATCCAGGGCTTTGTCAGAAACTGCATGGTTAAGTTTTCACTGTATTTGTTTTTATTTGTTTTGAAACCCAGCGCGCACAGTTCGTTGTTGCTAGCGCGCGCACCGTTCGTTGTTTACTCGAAATTTGCATACTTTACCATGGTAACTGGAGGCCATTTGAGTGCAAAACTGTGTCGTGCTCTGCTACACGCGATGGTTAGCAACTAGCAAGCTATCCGCGGATAGTTATCCACCACACTATCCAGGCTTTGTGCAACCTACTTTTGTTCGCTGGATAACTATCCGCTGGATAGCAGATTTATTCGCTGTATAGGCCCAACCACCGGATAAAGTTACCCAGGTTTTGAACAACCGAGCCCAGAACGTCTGGCCAGGGTTAATAAAATACATTTTCAAACTTGTCTTGTGAGTTGTGAAGTTTGTGCACAGAATAATTTTTTAAAAAAGTAGCATAATTTTGAAAAGCGAGCATAATTTGAGCATAATTTGGGCAAAAAACGAGCACTGCCACTAGCATAATATGCCACTTTTACTAGCACAATCGGCAAATGCCTAACCGTGGCCCTGAGCCGTAGCGAGCGCCTTCGGCGCGAGCCAACGCTGGGGGGTCTGGGGGCATGCTCCCCCAGAAAATTTTGAAATCTAGACTCTCGGAAAAGCGAATTCCGGCATTTTTAATGTAGAATAAAACAATATTTTAGTTATAATCTCATCTAAGAAAATTTCTAATATCGCCATTTTTTTAATTCTGTTCGGATAGGAGAAGAAAAATTTTACTTACCTTGTGGTGTCTAATATAAAATCAACGTAGTTTCCGTACCTTTCTGTAATCACAGGATTGTTGCCGCAGGAGTGAGAGAAAGATGAAGCATGTTATTTTTGCAGTGAATAACCAAAAGACAGTTCACTACAAAAAAATAATTTCCCCTCTTTGTTGCCCCATCAAATGGTGTTTTTCGAAAAGCAGCAAGGATGCCTTTTGTAACAGCCATAAAGATGGCAAGACTAATAAAAGCAATGTTCAAAGGTGGTCTTCTTCCAACAGCGACAAAGATGTTTATCCAACAACAGTAAAGATGGCAAGATTAATAAAAGCAATGTTCAAAGGTGATCTTTTTCCAACAGCAGCAAAGATGTTTATCCAACAATGGTAAAGATGGCAAGATTAATAAAAGCAATGTTCAAAGGTGGTCCTCTAAAACAAAGTAACAAAATGATTTTTGGTGGATGGGATTTTTTGATCTACCAAATAAGAAGGTGGCATCGCAGCACAACGAAAGATATGGACATAGTCAATTGCACTCCCATCAACAAAATCTCTTGGATATATTGTACAATTGAACATTTTATCCAACGAATCCCAATTTCCTTTCACTTCAGCATCATTAGTAATTGGGTAGTATGACTGAATAGCACACTGGATTACTGTGGACAAAGCAAACATACACATCAAGGGTGAAAAGGTGTAATTATTCGCTGTTTCCACTGCTTCTTGTAAAACTGCTGCAACTTCATTCGCATTTTCTAAAGAGGTTAGAGCTGCATCAGATATACACATGGCAAAGGCATTTTTAAGTGAAGTGAATGCACTATTTTTATGCTGGGACTCGATGAGAGGATGGGTAGAATAGTATTTTGCATTCTCAAACATTTCAACACAAGTTAGGAATCTCAAGTAAATAGAGAGTCTCATTCCCAACTAATGCAATAGAACATGCATTGAACAGACAATTCCCATTGGCTAAAGTACTAAAAGAAAAATTAGTATTTAAGTATCAATGGCTGCTTTGTTATACCAAGTTATACCTGGAAACAAATCTGCTAGACTGACTCTTACATTAGAATAAATAAGGGTAACCAATACTGTTAAAGATAGACTAATAATGTTGAAATTGAGAAAGTTATTTTGTCTTTGTGTTAATTTGGTAACATCATGATAAAGTCAAAGTCACAGGCTGGTAGTCTAAGATTTGGAACTGGTCTAGGCATGTCGAACAGGATTCAGACGACTTATTGATTCCATCTACTATTGCATCAATATTCTATATAAATCGCGAAAGAAAGTAACAGTTATTCAAAATGATATGTTAGTTTCTTTAACCAGGGGATAACATAAAATGCCAGGAATACAAGGATAATACATTATTGATTGGGTTGAATTTTAAAAAGAACTAGCTTTGACTAATATTGAAGTAAAACACTTTTTTTAACAGACAGTAACAATTAAAATTATTTAGGCCGTACATTAGACAGACTGAGTATGCAAAATAATGACAGCTTTAGACATATATTTTACATGATACGCTAAATATGAAT